AGGTAGCATATGGAAGGCTGTTGGGATTTTCCCACCAACGCAGGTGCATGAGTATCCAGAGTAAATAAGTACACTTAAGCCGTTTAGGATTAATACATAAGTTTATTCTAGTCTTGAATATACATACATCTATATGAAGAATAAAAGGTATGCGCAAGATTGACTGCTCTTTTCTTGATACTTTCGCCTCAAATGCCAGAAAATAAAGTGTGGTCGGTTACAATGGCCAAACGATTCCCAGATGGGGTTACTAGATTGCAGAGATCTGCATTGAGTATGAGCGGTCCGGATCGATCAACAACGCTCAAGACGATCACAACTCAGCACAGAAGATCGCCATAACATGTTCGATCGATCTTGGCGCACAATACTAACGATCTCGTTCAGTTAGCTTGATTGCTCTGCTTCCTGATTCAAACTGATTTTTTGGTACCGGTATGATGATCGGAACTAACTGATACAAATGACTTCAGTTATTTCTTCATAATTTACTTGTATAACTAAAATTTATGTAATGCAGAAAAAATCGTAATATTTAATGCTTATAATTAATAAACAAACAGTTTGCGTCCGAGATTCTGCTAAATTTCGTCAGACTGGAGCTCTCTGCTAGATTGGTACTTTGAATGAGGTGCTTAATTCGAACAGAGGCCAAGAAATATAGAGGAATGTCTAAGTTGTCGGCCATCCCAAAACTGTTCGAAAATGTCATTACTTCTCATTTGCAACACCTGTGTAGGTCAATTATTTCTCTATGCCAACATGATTTTATTAAGCAAAGATCAATAACAACCAATCTTTTGGAGCTCACTTCCTTTATTATAAAGGGTTACCGAAAAACCTTTCCATTGAACGCGAATCCTCGGCAGCTTTGAAAGAGCTGCAAAATACAATTCAAAATTGTCTCACATCACTGCAAATTTCCGGCCTTTCTACTAAGATTTGGGACTGCCTTCTGGTTTATTTGTGCTCCACGAAACTCCCAAAGCTGACGCTTTCATTATGGGAGCAATCCATCCAACAAAAAAACGAAATTCCTACGTGGCCGAACTTGATTCATTCCTAACGGAGCGCCATAGAACTTTGGAAACTATAAATTCTCTTCAACCTTCTACGTTACACCTCAGTCCGTCCAAACCGACAAAATCCATCGTGGCACCGCGAGTACTAAAATCCTTTAGTGCGCGGATTTGTCCCATATCCAAAAGATGCGATTTGTGTTCTACAGAGAACCATCCAGTGCATTTTACACACAAAACAACAAGCACGCAAAGTTTGACAATTTTTTGCGCCAATTTTATGATATTGCAAAGTGTCTCAAACAACTGACTTTTATGGATTGGCAACAATACAGAGCTGCCATCAAAGGCAGTTTTTTTCAAATTAAGATATCTAGATTTGATAAGTATGGACCATTCATAAAAATTTATTAGGAAAATAAATAGGTTTATGCAACAAAATCGGGTTTTTACACACAGTGCAGTGAGTTTGTAATAAAGTATATAATAAATTATCTTAATAAAGCTATTTATGTTATGTCCTTAAATAAGCTGCTTTTCTGGTTTGAGATATTCGAAAAAGTATTAAAAAATTTTGTATTTCATAATTTAGAAATATGTTGATGTTGTTAAAAACGTTTTAAAAAAAATGCATTATGGAAGATTGCAATTCAGTTAGGACGCCTCTACCCACTAAAATAAGTAATGATGCCTTGTAATCTGAAAAATATGTGAAACATCATGTAGGAATTTTATTGGATCTTTAATATGCATAATGTTGTGTACACAAACGGATTGAAGATCTGAAGTTATAATTTAAAAGAAATCTCAATCTCTTATGGGGTATTTCGATTCTAATTGGGCTGGAAATTAGACTGACAAAAGAAGTACTGAAGGATATCTTTTATACAAACATACAATATTGTTTTCTGTGCGTGGAACAGAGAGACGGCCAAGAAGACCTTAAAAAAGATAAGGCTCCTTCTCGGTTCTCTCCCTCTCTCTCTATGAAACCGAGATTTTGTTCCCCTATTTCTTTCTTTGTGCACATGCGTAACTTACTTGCTTGCAGACAACGAGAGAGTGCGGTTGTGAAAATAAACACTTTAAGCTATAATTAAAGGAACTTATTATTTGGCTAAACGGGCTGGAATAATACTTAGGTGTTTAATTTCTTTAAAATTCAAATAAAAATATTCCAAATTCAGATTATTTATAATTAATAATAAATAAACTGTAGCTGTATTTATAATAATAATTTTCCTTATCACTGCTCACGTTTCTCTTTTAATTATACAAACTGCACAAGTGAATAGGTAGAAGATTCCAAATTAACAAATAATACATTAACAAAGAAAGATTCATTCAACAACATTGGGTAACGGTATCTAAGCATGTAACTAAGCTCCGCAAATATTTTGAGCTTATTAAAAGTATATTTAAGTTAGATATTACACTTCAAATACTCTTGTATACTTTTATAAATATTGATGATATTGTTGAAGATTTGTTGCATTTTGTAACTATTATAGATGTTTTATTGAAAAGTTTGGTGAATACTTCGATCGCATTATAAGATTGCCAGAACTCTTTTGAACATTTCAAAACAGCATTAATGCTTCCAACTTTACTCCAATTCTATGACTTCCGAAAAGATAATATGCTTGCATAATGCCAGCTTTTTTAACTCAAAAGTATAATGGCCCGCAATGTTCTCTTGCATATGAGAAATTAATAAATCAACAACAGAACAGGAATTAGCTGCAATCCACTGAGCAATAAATGACTTCAAATCACTTCAGTCAAAACAGATCACTTATATATTTGCAATGGTTAACAACACATCAATTCTCACACGAATGAGGGTTGACTTGGAAGAGTACGAATTTAAAAAGTAGTACCATCAGTAATTAAAGTTGTCATTATTAAATATTGAATAATTAGGAGAGATGAACCGGAACATGCTTCTGTGCGAAGACAAAGTGAACAAGCAAACAGTCCCGACATCCCGACACTATGAAAAGCAAGGCGGTAAATCTAATTATGTTAAGAGGTGTAATTGTGGATACGATCTGTCTACTACCTAAATCGGAAGAAGGCAACGTATACGCAGTCACACTTAAACATACATAAATATTAGAAATATAACATCCACTTCGCACTACCAGACAGTTGGAACCGTAAAAAAATATATAGAATAATTAATAAATTCATTCGGTCATATATTTTATTAACAACACTGATTGGGACATTTAGATCACTGTCACTGGACAAAGATAGATCGACTCGCCTGTTGATTCCGATCAAAAATATATATGCTTTATTGGGTCGAAAATATCTGATTTATTGCGTCGCAAACTTCTGACTAAAATAATTATACCTTGCAAGGGTATAAAAAGGAGCAGGCATGCATCCATTTCTTAATCAGAATAATCCTTTTATACGAGGCGCTAGTCTTTTGTTTAAATTCCTAATTCTTAAATGTATTTCTCTTTGAAGAAAAATGCTTGTCGGAGAGGAGGCTAGAAGTAGGCATGAGACTGAGGTGTCTAGTAATCTAGTAATAGGTACTAGTTCTGGTTGTATGGGGACTAAGTTTGCGAACTAAGACTATCTATAGGTATAATGTAGACAAACTCGGCAAAGAAAATCAGCATGAGGTCCCGCTATATGAAGTCAAATGGGTGCAGATATGTCTGTTGAATTAAAAGTTTACCTTTTTCCTCCACTCTTCAATATTTTAATTTGGGTTTCGGTAAAAGTTTTGCTCAGAGACACCTCAAGTTCCCTGTAGTTATCAAGCTGCAGGCGTAATGATACCACTCACTACATTCTTCCTTAGATCATGGAAAATTTGTACTATTTTTTTTATTATATTTTTTGATTAACTCAATCACATTGTGAATAAAAGGAACAAAATTGGACACAAAACCTGCTAATTAAAGATTGTTTTGTATGTATTTCAGCGTTTAATAATGATTAATTATATTATATATAAAATATAGTTTTTTTTCTCATACGATTAAATTTTATTTTATTTTTTAATTTTATCAAAATTACAAAATTATTTTGTGCTATGTATAAATGTACAACTTTAATATATTTCCTTTTATTTTTATACCCTTGCATGGTATTATAATTTTGTCAGAAGTTTGCAACGCAGTGAATGAGACCTTTCCGACCCTATAAAGTATATATATTCTTGATCAGCATCAACAGCTGAGTCGATCTAGCCATTTCCGTCTGCCCGTCTGTCTGTTTCTACGCGAACTAGTCCCTCAGTTTTAAAGCAATCTGCATTAACTTTGCATATAGTCTTCTATATACTCTCACTGCTATATATGTCGGAACGGCCCGGATCGGACGACTATATCATACAGCTGCCATACAAATGATCGACAAAGTTTTAGAAAAAAAACATAAAGCTTGGCTCTTTTTCAACATATTTTAATAATTTTAAAGATATGGTCATTTTTCTATTATTTCAGAATTTCTTTTTTAATTTTATGAAAATCTGACGACTATATCTTGGGAAATTAAGAGAAAAAATTATAACTTTGTTGTTTTTCAACGTATTTTCATCTACTCTGAGATATGAGTTTTTATTATTATTTCAAAATTTTTGTATAAATTTTATGAAAATCGGACAACTATATCATAAAGCAGCCATTGAAACGATCGGTAGATATAGAATGTAAAGCTGGGAATGTATAACTGTAACTGTCAAACTGTAAACATAATAAGTATATATATATATATATATATATATATATATAACTTTTATATATTTCTTTATATTTTTTTCTATTTATTCACCTAGAATGGCTGGATTCTTAATGATCCAATTCCAATGATTAAAGATCCAATAGCAAACTGCAAGGGTATACAAACATTGGCGTGCCGAAGTTAGCTTCCTTTCTGGTTTTAGGACCATAAAAAAAATTTAAAGAGACTTCCCCAATTCTGTAATAATTAAAGTTAATTAACTTTAACTTTTCTTACCTGTGGAAATTCATCATAGTTTTTGCCGACACATGTTTTTTTTACAGCATCCTTAAACTCCTGATTAGATATTTTCCCATCCTTTAAAATACAAGAACACAGAATAATAAACTTTTATTAATTATATGTTTTTCGTTATATATAAATTAAATTTTTGATTTGTGAAGCGATAGTAAATAACAACTGACAGTTAGTCATATAAAGGATGCCAATTCATCCTTTATATGACTAACTGTCAGTTGTTATTGCTTTTCTTTCAGTCTACATCTAATGCAAGAACAATATGTTTTTTTTTTTTGTACTATGTTTTTAAACTACGTTTAATATTATATAACAAAGCTACATTTTAAGAGCTAGAAGTCTTGCATCGTCAAGTACCGCGCAAGGACCCACTTCGAAGTCCAGCTTCTTTTGTGCCGCTGTACTTGCTAAAATAAGATAAGGGCGCAATGGGCATTTGCAAATGAAAAAAAAGATAAACTGACGACGCACAGTAGCGCCTCTCGAACAAAAGCCGCACAGTAGCGCCTTTTCTCATTTAGCGTTGCAAAAATCATATCTTTTGAACCAAATAAGGTAATCGAATAATTTAAACGGCATTGGACAGGTAATTGTTGTAAAATGTATATATGTACTGCATAATGTACCACGCCCACAAATACGCCTTTTTAAAGGGTATCAAAGTGAAAAAATAATTTTTTTTCAATGAAAACAATTTTTAAAAAATATTTTTTATTTAAATTTTAATGTTTATTTTTATGTATTTGCTTAAATAAAAATAATTTGAAAACAGAAAAAAATTTTTTTTTAATTCAAAGTGTAACCGCCACGCGCTACAGTTAGTATATTTCTTGGAATGTATGAAATTGTGTCGGTATTTTGGTATATTTAACCCTGAGTAGTTTTGGTTTATGTCGTTGCATTTTCGCAGACGCAGCTCGACGCAGCCGATGAAAGTTAATTCTGATCCAGGAAAGATCCACGGAACTTGTAGTCATAGTGTAGTCAGTGGCTTTCATTGGCGTCAAAAGATATAGACTACTTTAGGCAGAAAAAGGTGAAAAAAATGGACACCTGGCAGGTAGCGATTTACCTGTAGAACCCCAAACCAAAGTGTCGTTTTTTTAGGTTCTTTAATAGTTTATGAATGTATCTATCATTTAAAGTAAAAACCATGACCATTGGTTTTATGTTTTTTTGTAATATTACCTGAAAGTCGACCAATTTACACATTTTTTTTTTGTATGATGCAAAAAACGAAACAAAGTTCAACTTTAAATGCTCATAACTTCTAAAAAAAAAATCTTAAAATTGATTTTATTGCAGATTCTGAATCCTTGTTAAATTTCATGTCGAATAAGTATGGTTAAAATCGTTTTTGCGAACATGACTTTTTTGATTTTTGCAACGCTAATTGTTCGAGAGGCGCTACTGTGAGCCGTTGCAAAAATCGAAAAGTCGTTGTCGCAAAAATGATTTTAACCATACTTATTCGACAGGACATTTCCCATGGATTCAGAATCTGCTGTAAAATCAATTTTCGGATTTTTTTGTAGAAGATATGAGCATTCAAAGTTGAACTTTGTTTCCATTTTTGCATCATAAAAAAAAAAAAGGAAAAATTTGTTGACTTTCAGGTAAAATTACACAAAAACTATAGTACCTATCGCCATGATTTTTGCTTTAAATAATAGACACATTCATAAACTGTAACCCAATCCAAAAAAAAAGGGGAATTGGGTTAGGGCTTGCACAGGTAAATCGCTACCTGCCAGGTGTCCATTTTTTTCACTTTTTTTGGCTAAAGTAGTCTATATCTTTTTGGATGGGCTGAGCCACTATACACACTATAACTACGACCTTTGTGGATCTATTCTGGACCAAAATCAACTTACATCTGCTGCGTCGAGCTGCGTCCCCGGAAATGCAACAGCATAAACCAAAACTACTCAGGGTTAAATATACCAAAATACCGACTCAGCTTCATACTAACCATAAAATATACTAACTGTAGCGCGTGGCGGTTACACGTTGAAATAAAAAATTTTTTTTTTTCAGTTTTCAAATTATTTTTATCTGAGCAAATACATAAAAATAAAGATAAAAAATTAAATAAAAAATATTTTAAAAAAATTGTCTTCATTGAGAAAAAAATATTTCTTTACTTTAATACCCTTTAAAAATGCGAATAAGTGGGCGTGACAGATTTTCCAATACATATGTAAATTTTACAACAATTACCAATCAAATGGCGTTTAAATTATTTAGTTATCTTATTTTGTTCAGAAGTTATGATTTTTGCAACGTAAAATGAGAAAAGGCGCTACTGTGCGACGGTTCTCTGCCGTCGTTCGCTTGTGGACGTGACAAAGAATAAGAGTGGGAGAGTAATATGCATGGACAATATACAAATGCTCGCTCAAATACATGCAGAAAGTGATAACCCAGACCAAACCTCTCCCGAAAATATAAGCAGTGCTTCGATGAAAGACTCACAGCAGAAATAAAACTATCCTCAACTTTTTATACCCTTGCAGGGTATTATAATTTCAGTCAGAAGTTTGCAACGCAGTGAAGGAGACGTTTCCGACCCTATAAAGTATATATATTCTTGATCAGCATCAACAGCCGAGTCGATCTAGCCATGTCCGTCTGTCCGTCTGTCTGTCTGTCTGTTTCTACGCAAACTAGTCCCTCAGTTTTAAAGCTATCTGAATGAAACTTTGCATATAGTCTTCTATATGCTCTCACTGCTATATATGTCATCATTTTTGGAATATGGCCATTTTATATAATTTCTGAATTTTGGTAAAAATTTTATGAAAATCGGACGACTATATGATATAGCTGCCATAGGAACGATCGGGAAATTAATAGGAAAAAAATTATAGCTTCGTTGTTTTTCAACGTATTTTTATCTACTTTGAGATTTAAGCTTTTTTTATTATTTTAGAATTTTGGTATAAATTTCATAAAAATCGGACAACTATATCATATAGCTGCCATAGAAGCGATCGGTAAATGTATACAATATGTAAAGCTGGGAATGTAAAACTGTAACTGTCAAACCTATACTTATTAAGGTTGTTGTGAGTGTTTTCAGCATTTAAATCTATAATATAAACATCAAAACCAATCTGCAAGGGTATACAAACTTCGGCGTGCCGAAGTTAGCTTCCTTTCTTGTTCATTCATAATACAAATGCTTTAAACTTAGCTATTTGTACTTTTGCTCCTAAGAATTCCGCTTCTAAGCCATGTGACGCCTGTTTTTCGATCTTTATACCCTTGCAGGGTATTATAATTTCAGTCAGAAGTTTGCAACGCAGTGAAGGAGACGTTTCCGACCCTATAAAGTATATATATTCTTAATCAGCATCAACAGCCGAGTCGATCTAGCCATGTCCGTCTGTCCGTCTGTCTGTCTGTCCGTCTGTCTGTCTGTCTGTCTGTCTGTCTGTTTCTACGCAAACTAGTCCCTCAGTTTTAAAGCTATCTGAATGAAACTTTGCATATAGTCTTCTATATGCTCTCACTGCTATATATGTCGGAACGGGCCGGATCGGACGACTATATCATATAGCTGCCATACAAATGTTCGATAAATTTTTAGAAAAAAAATTATAACTTAGCTGTTTTTCAACATATGTGCACTATTTTTTACATATGACTATTTTATATTATTTCTGAATTTTGGTAAAAATTTTATGAAAATCGGACGACTATATCATATAGCTGCCATAGGAACGATGAGGAAATTAATAGAAAAAAAATTATAACTTTGTTGTTTTTCAAACTATTTTTATCTACTCTGAGATATAAGCTTATTTTATTAGTTCAGAATTTTGGTATACATTTTATGAAAATCGGACAACTATATCATATAGCTGCCATATAAACCGATCGGTAGGTGTAGGGAAAATGTAAAACTGGGAATGTAAAACTGTAACATAATAAGTATAGCTAAAATGCAATGAAATAATATCTGCAAGGGTATACAAACTTCGGCGTGCCGAAGTTAGCTTCCTTTCTTGTTTTTTTTAATTTTTCTTATGATCGCTTAAGACTTAGCAGTTTTCATTTTTTAATAGTAATAAGATTAAGTATAAGGTATTATTCAAAATTTTCAGTTAGCATTCGACCTTCATCGAGTGCAGACGTGCCTACGGACGACCGCTACGCGGGGTTTATTCTCGAAGTGTTTTTTCATGGTGAAAAAGTAAATTCGGAACTCTAAACTACGTACTATGAGTTAGGCCAAGCCCTACAGTACGTATGACATACGGACACTAGTGCGTGAGACGTGTTTTTGAGCTGCAAAGTTCATTTATATGGTGCCACGCGTAACAAGCTCAAAATAATGAGCGGCGATCAAAAGAATGAGCGTATAAGCTCTGTAAAACAAAGAAACGGTTGTTTCGCTTACTTCTCAACTCGCGATATCAAAGCAGAGAAAACGTCTACCAAGCTCAACCCATCTCTACTGACCGCCGATGGCAAGAGAGCGCAAGTGAGCTCTTGCTCACCCGCCCTACTCACTCCAACACCTACATCTTGGAGCTACGAATGCCAAACCCCACCACCACCGGCTTCGATGGAAGACGCACTAACAATAAGCAGTGCTGTAATTTCTGCAAACGCAGCAAAAGCAACAACTGCAATTAAACCAACGAGCCATATTGCAAAATCGGTGCCAACGGACGCACCGCCAAATTCAATGGTAACAAAAACCGTGAGCTCCGATAAGCAACAAGCGGTTCCGGCCATACAGACTGGCATGGATCGCTACATCCAAATTAAGCGTAAGCTCAGCCCACATAACGCGGTTGGTAACAAACCTAAGATCAACCGTGTCACCAACAGCTAAGACCCAACCAACTCCAACAGATTTTCCCCGCTAGCAGCTGATGAGAATAACCAAGCAGAGCCGGAGCAGGAGACTCAAAAACAGCCAAAGCCCCCACCTATTTATATTAGGGAGAAAAGTTCAAACGCCCTGGTCAAAAAAATTGTTGCGATGGTCGAGGACGGAAATTTCATGTTGTCCCGGTTATTAAAGGGAACATTTGCGAAACCAAAGT